TCATCGTCATCATCGTCGTCGTCATCGTCGTCCTTCTTGGACTCGGCGGCAGCTTCTACCAAGACACGGCCTTCCATTTTGGAGGCGTCGATGGCGGCGACGGCGGCGTCCGCAGCGACTTGCGCAACATCCGCCACTTGGTTGGGGATTTGTTCGTTGGCCGAGACGATGGCAGCAGCGACAAGCGCGAGGAAGGCAAAGACTTTCATGGTGAGGATGTGCGGAGAACGCGGCAAAATGCGGAATGTGTCCGAGGAGGTGCCATGGCGTGCTGCTCGCTGGTCGACCGATCGACGGCGATTTCGTCGTCGGGTGGCATCGCCCCTCCAATCAAAACGCTCGAAATCTGTCGTTCGTCGTGCGAATTGTGGTGGATGTTTCGCTTCGAATTTTATCAAATTACGTCAGAATTATCTGAAAAAACGACAAAAATTCCCTGGATTCCTTACGTTGTCGGGAACGAGTGGAGTGAACGACCGACGACGCCGTCGGCACGACAGGACCGCCGTGAGAAGAGACTTGCGCGACACATCGACGCGGCGAACGATTCCACGAGGTCATTTGATCAGTGCTACGGCAACTAACGTCACTGCTGGTGGCAGTAGTGCTGTCTTCCGTGGAAGCTGTTGGCCGTCTGCCATGCTCAAAGAGTACACAAAGGGGATGCTAGCTTTCGCTTGAGGTGATGGTTATATTGCCGACCTCTGGGAATGCCAAGTGTGTCGAGAGGAGATACATGCCCTCGGTACGAAACAGTGTGCAGCTCAGCGGTGATGCATCCACATCGATATCAATCGAAACGGCACAACTTTCTTGGGCGGAAGAGGTGCAGGAGAGTCCTGAACAAACACTTGCTTGCGCTGTCGTCTGGGTAGTCAGGACCCAAGGTCTTGACGCTTGGCGATGCAAGGTCGTCCGGCGCGGCGGGCGTCCGTGCCTGTCCTCGTTGTCCCTTCGACGAAAGCAATTTTCGCTCAAAATATACATTGAAAATTGAAAATAGTTTGTTCAGCTATATATCAGGTTTGTTGCAACGCAATGAAGCCAGCCAGGTGCACACACCACGACGCAGGCAAACTGCGAAATGACGTTGGGTTTGGTTTTCATAATGGGATGCAGTTCGTGTCTACCGCGAGGACTTCGCCACGTCGCAACGTTGAGCGCCGGATCGGAGAATTGTGCTGCTCGAACTTGGCGGCGGCCGGCGGCAGACGTTGTTTTTTTTCCCTGAAAAAACGTTGTAGTTTTAATAAGACTTCGTATCCGTCAATGCATTTTTATTCAAAGTTGAGAAGAAAAAACGTTATTTTTGTCGATCGGACGACAACTAACCAGATTGAAGGGCCGTGTGATTGGTCGGATCTCCCAGCAAACGACGACCTTGGGATGGGGCGGCAGCGCAACTCATTTCCACACTTGCCTGTCGTCTCGATGAAAGTCTTCGCGTTCCTCGCCGTCCTCGCCGCCGCCATCGCGTCCGCCGACAACCAAGTCCAAAATGACGCTGCCCAGTTGGCCCAGCTCGCCGCCGTCGAGGCCGCTTCCGCTGCTGTCGACGTTCCGGCAAAGAACCGCGCCTTGGAAGAAGCTGCCGTCGAAGAAGCCGCGTCCAAGAAGGATGACAACGATGACGACGACGATGATGATGATGACGACGATGACGACGATGACGACGATGACGACGATGACGACGACGATGACGATGATGACGATGATGACGACGATGATGATGACGACGATGACGATGATGATGACGATGCCATCGAGTCCGACGTGGCCACTGGTGCTGCCACGGGTGAGTATGTCGAAACCAACTACATCGGTGGACGCCGCCTTGAAGCTGAAGGTGTTGCTGCCGTCGAAAGTGTCGAGGGTGTGGAAGCCGCCGAATCTGTCGAAGCCGTAGCGTCCAAGAAGGATGACGACGATGACGATGACGACGACGATGACGATGACGACGACGATGATGACGACGATGATGACGACGATGACGACGATGACGACGATGATGATGACGATGACGACGATGACGATGACGATGATGACGATGATGATGATGACGACGATGATGATGACGACGATGATGACGACGATGACGACGATGACGATGTTGTCGAAGCCGATGTTACTGCTGTCCAAGCCGACCCGTCGGATGAAGCCGTGATGTCCTCGCCGTAAATGTACTCGGCCATTTTTCTACGTTAATATATGAACTCAATGTATTCGATCAAAGAGCGGCCACGTCCGCTTGTGTCGAGGGGTTGTCGAGACTTGTTTACGGCAAGAACCATGCCATGGCGTAGAATTCATCCTACGTTGTCGTCGATGTTGGCGCGTGGGGTTGTCTGGCTTTAAGAAATGAACGGCACAGTTCGCCATACTCGACAGTTTGAGGAGATACGTGGCATGCAGGGAGCCACAACACTGCCGAGCCGAGACCGCAGTTGTGCCAGACGCCCATATCCTCCAAAAAACATCCACTTCACCGCAGTCCAAACGAGATGCCATCCCCACCCCGTTGGAGTTAGCACGCTAGCATTTTGAATCATCTAAATGAAATACTGCGTCCATGCAGGTCTCCAACTATGGCAAAGACTGCAACAAACGCCCAGAGTCAAGGTCACATTCCAACATCTCGACGCGCGTGGCTGCGGGGAACGGCGGCTTGAGAGCAATGGAAAACTGCAATGGTCGCAGCTAACACGACGTGGCATTGGCAGGACGACACTTGCTTGAAGTGTCGACGAGCATGCACAGACTCGGTCGACCCAGAAACAATTGCCGCACGTGATGGAGCCGGTCGCGACGGAGGCAGGGGTTGATACTTCGTGGGGGCGGCATCGCCGTGGTGACCGTTGGGGTCGTCGTGGGGCGAGGGGGGGGCACCAGTCCCACATGCATTAGCGAAGCAAGCAAGTTGATCTGCTGCGGTCAAGTCCTACAAATACAACTCCAATGGCTCCGCATCATTCAAACATTCGAGATCTCGATGAAGTTTCTTTGCTTCTCCATCAAACCTGGTTCCCCCGCGCGAGGATGTCTGCCGAACCCGCTTTCAACGGGTGTAGTCCACTTCGCCGTCGTCACGCTGCCTCCCCACATCACTTTTAAATGTCCACGTGCTACTTCTTCGCTCTCGTCGCCTACGCCGCCGTTGCCATCGCCCGACCCAACTGCACAGGAGTCGACTGCAATTACAACGCGTGTGGGACTACCTCCCCCCTCGCCCCACAACAACCCCAACGGTCACCACGACAATGGCCGCCCCCACGACGACCCAAGTGTCGACCCCTGCCCCCGTCGGGATCCGCCCTCTCGCGACTAGTGTTTCGAAGTCGACGGTGCCTGCGAAATTGCGTCGAAATAGGTGTGCACCCCTAGGTGCAGCTCAATTCATCAAAACAAGCAATAAACTGATCAAATGTCATCGAATTATTGCCACAAAAATTGGCGCTCATGCGAGCCCTTCGTCCCATACAAACTCCAAGTCGGACACGGGCACGTTAGCAGCCAGTCACTTCGTTTTCCCCGTCGCTCCAATTTGACTTGATTGTTGTATACTGGCCCAAACCTCCTGGCCATCTTTCCTGGCTCGTTTCACGAAAACGCGAGAAATCCTGCCTTTTCGACCTGGCTCTGAACACGAGAACGGACGAAATGGGTAAAATCAGCCCACCCGATCCCACACGGTGCATTTTCCCAGCTTGAACGGTCACAGCACGAATCGGACGTTCTAAAATGTCGCCGATTTCAAATAAACCAGAGTATATAGGCGCCGAAACGGTTAACGCGAGAGTTCGGTGGATATTCAAAAAATTCAAATGAAGTGATTTGATTGGTGGAATAGAAGCTTTTGAACCAATCACACGTGAGTTTCGGCGACAGACGTTACATTGCCACGTTCGGGCGAGAATATGTCGTCATTTTCGAATTTCACCCAAGAGACGCAAAGGACATGGCCCGCACCAAGCAGACGGCGCGCAAGTCGACCGGCGGCAAGGCGCCACGCAAGCAGCTGGCCACCAAGGCCGCCCGCAAGAGCATGCCTGCTACTGGCGGTGTGAAGAAGCCCCATCGTTACCGCCCTGGTACCGTCGCGCTTCGTGAAATTCGTCGCTACCAAAAGTCGACCGACCTCCTCATCCGCAAGCTTCCGTTCCAACGCCTCGTGCGTGAAATCGCGCAAGACTACAAAACTGACTTGCGCTTCCAAACCACGGCCATCTTGGCCCTCCAAGAAGCCGCCGAAGCCTACTTGGTGAGCCTCTTTGAAGACACCAACTTGTGCGCGATCCACGCAAAGCGTGTGACGATTATGCCTAAGGACATCCACTTGGCCCGCCGTATCCGTGGCGAACGAACTTAATCTACTGTCTTCTACCACGTGTCTCTTCCTTTCCTCGTAGCGGCATCTAAGTATTTAACTTTGTTCTTTCCATTGTTGACTTGACCTTGAACGAGAGGCATTCCTTCTCATGAGTTGTCTGCTTCCCGGTGCTTTTCCATGAACATGGCATACGATTGATCTCGAGGGTAGAGTGTGCCGGTGTTATTGGAGCTTAAAATAGGCAACAACTCCCGCACAGGATGCTTAAGCGGCTGAGCAATGTGTCCCGCGCGCTATCGCCAAAGGGATTCCAGCCTCAATCCCCGCAAAAGATGCCTGCCCAAGCAGGTTCTGTATGCTTCTCGTCGGATCCTGACGATCTCATCCAATCCATCCAGGGCCCCTGCCGCTCTCGCCACGATTGAAGCTGAATGGCATTAGTCAAGCTCGCCCTGAGGACAACCAGCAACAGCACCACTTCATTCCAGTGGTCGGAAGCCAAGCACCTGGTCTGACCGACGAAATTCTATCGCTTCTCAGCACTCTGATCCATCGCATGGACGAGATCAAGCCCAAGAAGCTTCGATCGATCCGTCTTGGCGGTATGAGTCGTTAGTTCTGCATGGTCTCTGACGGCGCCTTGTCCCAGGGGAACTGCGGGGACTCCTTGGCAAGGCGGAAGACGAGCTCGGTGCTCACGCAGACATGTTCAACACATACGTCGGCTGCCCTGGCCTCCATATTCAGATGCAAAACTTCCTCGCGAGTCTTCAAGGCCTCGTTCCTATCGTCGAGTCGTACGAGAACCATCCGTTTATCTCGATGGCGCTCGGTCATCGTCCTGACGGCCTCGCCGTGCTCTAGCATCCACGCGAAATCTTTCCTCGTCAATGGGTTCGTCAAGAAGAGCATTCAGTTTGCCTTTCAAGAAATTACGTCGTACTACTCGTCGATGGTAAGTCGGCGCTCGCATGCCGCGCTCCTTCAACTCTTTTTTTCTCTGGATATCGGCAGTTCACCAAGCTGTCCCTGGCTGTGGCCAAGGCGACCGGGTCTGCCGCGGAGGCAGCAGTTCTCGCGGCGCTGAGCAAGCCCGCGGACCCGCCTCCCACTGACGTTGAAGAGCCAGCAATCGACTACGGTCAGCACTGGATGAGGCAAACTGATCTCATTCACCACACCATTTTGGCAGATGCCATGTGCTTGGTGGCCCATCAGCATTTCTTTGGCCATGGCAAGGAAAAGGACTTTGCCAAGGCTTTTCGGTTGTACCTGGTGCGCAAGTCGTCCCATTACGTCGACGGTTCAATCAATTACCCCGTCTAGACGGCGGCGAAACATTCCCATCTTGATGCGATGGTTTCCGTGGGCTCCATGCTTCGCAACGGATGCGGTACGGAAGCAGATCAAGAGGCGGCGCTGCAGTGGTTCACGCGGGCAGCGGATGAAGGATCTCCAGACGGCGCTTCCAACCTTGGCCACGTCCTGGTACATGTTGTCGGTAGAGCAGCCAACGCTGAGTTAGGCACTTAGATGGAAAAAGCAGCACTCGTGGCAAACCCGCACAAGCAGCAGCAGCTGTACGCAATGGCGCTCGTGCGGCTGACTCAAGCGGGAGACCGCGGAGTCGCGGCAGCGCAATATGCTGCAGGTTGGGGGAGTTTTCGATGTCAGCAGCGGTTTTTCGCAGTCTAATCCGCGAGCTAGGCACGCTATACCATAGCAAAATCACCCCCTTTGATTTGGTCAAGGCCAAGGAATGGTACGTCAAGGCCAGCGCCGCATCCCACGCTGCCGCCGACCTCGCGCTTGGCCACATGCTGTTTGATCAAGATAAAGGCCTCTCAGCCCATTACTTCCAAAGAGCTCTGGCTTCACATCACGTAGGACATCCCTTTCGTGCGGTGTTTGCTTTACGGTTCGATGAATCGTACCATCTAGACGCTGCCGGAAGCAGACGCAGCCACTGCCGCTTACTTCCTCGGTCGAATTTACTCCTGTGGCGAAGACGTCCCGGCGGACGTCCCTCGAGCAGAGGCCTTCTTTCGGCAGGTACCTCCCTGATCCAGCCAAATGTCGCCACATCAGCATGCATCCATGTTCTCATCCAGGCAGCCGAAGCAGGGCATGTCCAAGCCACGTTGGAAATGGCGCAACGAAAGCTGGAAACCCCAGACGAAGCGCTGCGATATCTTGTGCTCAGCACGTCCACTCGTTCAGCCGATCAACTCGCCGAAGCATCGTTCCTGAAGGGTAAGGACGACTTGCCCGACCTGCTCCTGATGCTTGATCCCTGGTGCAGGCCAAGTATTTGAAAGCACCGCGTTTCGGTGTCTCAGTACAGCTTTGCTCCACTACACGGCCGCTGCGGAACAGGTCGTTATTTACGTGTTCGAACGATCGGACTGATCATCGGTGCAGGGGCACGTGGAAGCTGCCAAGCGGGCAGCAGCGATGCTGTATTCTGGCATCGTCGACACGAAGAAGGTCCCTCCTAACCGAGCCAAGGCCTTTGAACTGTACTCGGTCGCAGCGTTGAAGAAAGATCGCGACGCGATGAATGCGCTGGGGCTGATGCACGAAGAAGGCATGGGATGCCGGTTGGATGTGGACCGCGCGGCCATGTACTTCCGAGAGGCCGCTGCTTTGGGCAGTGCCCACGGACACTTCAATTATGGATGCTTACTGCATAGCGGCAAAGGCGTCGAGAAGAACGAAGCGCAAGCGACTTGGCACTTTGCACAGGTGAGCTTTGAAGGATGTGTTCTCAATAATGGAAGTCTGTCTAGGCTGCTGCGCTCGGGTACACCGTGGCAAAGAATCCGTGCAGATAAGTGTCCACCACGATGAAATGAAAGATGTAACCATACAAAAATGAAATGAATGACGTGGCACGCTATCTTTCGTGATCAATCAAGGGGGAGAAAACGAGGGCAGCTTGAGTGGTCACGCGCAGTCTACCGCGTCATTCGAGGAACCATGCACATATGAAGTGAATGACGTGGCACGCTGTCGTGCATTGACCGAAGAACACCCTCAAATATATGAGTGGAGGCCTTAAGTGGCTGAAAACATGGGCTGGAAGGATTGGAATGTAATTGGAGATGATAGTATGGTTAAGCTTTGAGGGACTTGGTCTTGGCGAAGCCGAGCGCCGCAGCGATGATCGAGTCGGACGTAGCACAGTCAATCGGGAGCCATGTGCGGGCGACGTTGTAGTGGTCGATCATGCGCAAGAAGTTGATGATATGGATGGTTGACAGAGTCCACACGATCGTGCCTTGAGCGATGAACTGGGTGGTAGTTTGGGCGTTCAGAATTCCCCACAGCACGAACGCGGCGACCGCTTTGACGATGCCATAGTACACCAAAGCTGTACGAAGCAAGGGAGAAGCCCAAGAGCTCTTGGCGCGGAAGAGGGCGTCGGCGATCAGCACAGGCTGCATCGTGAGAAATGTTGACACAGTGTACACAGCAGCAACTTCGACCGCAACGTTGAAACTCGTGGCAGCAACGATCAAGCCCAAAAGTAACACGTGGTGGATGATGGAGACGGCCGACTTCGGCGCAAACAACAGCGACCAGATGTATCCGCCGACGACGAGCAGAGTCGATGTGAAGAGAACGTGATGTTCGTTCGAGCTGTAGTTGAACGAGATGTGCTGGGGGTCTGCCACGTACTCTGCCAGCGCGGGGAGCAGCGGCCGAAAGTGGACAAGGCCAATCGTGCTGCACACGCATTGCGCGACAATGGTGGCGACGTCGAGAGGAGCTTTGGTTTTCATCAAATGGGTCGTGCGGTCGGGCGAGCCATGTCGATCGATGGCCGCCTGCAAGCGATTCAAGCAGCCATAGCGAATGCCGTGAAAGAGGCCGACGGACGCGCCCACGGACGCGAAAGAAGTTAGTTGTTCCCACGTAAGCATGATCCAGCGAATTGTATAGTGACGAAGGACTCCATCTCCACAAAGCTACGGTGTGCCGTTGCTAAGACAGTAACGCCGGCGGCCGGAGAAATGCTGTGGCTGTTGCTCCGTCGTTCGACAAACATTCAGGATGCAGCGGCTGGCCGTTGAGTCTGCGAAAGTCTTTCGACTTCGAAGGTTTGCGAGAGAGACCAAACGTCCCAGCGCCATCTCCCGCCTCGGTGCCGTGTTTACCAAGCCGTCAACCCGTCGACCAAACTCATTCGACGCCCGCTGGGAAACTTTTGTCCGGCCATCTTGGTGCCGGTCGAAGTTGCTCATGCCACATGAGTGGCAATTCAAATGTGTGAAATATTTCTTTTGATAAAGGCAAAATAATTTCCTACTTTTCCAGAAATAAGCACCGAACGTAGTGAAAATTCAAAACGTGAAATCCCGGCCTGAAAAGACAACGTTCGGATCACTCGGGCCTTCGGACGTCGCATGTGCTACCAAATAGTCGACGATGTCCCAGTGCTCAGCGGCCGTCGCGACCTCGATCGCCCACGTGGCGTCCCCTTCGACTCGCTGCTCGTTCAAGAAGCGTACGACGTCCAGGTGACCAGACGCTGCTGCCCAAGTCATTGCGTCCGCTGTACACCCCTCCGTTCGATGCTGATGCAGGAACTCCACGACGTGTAGATGTCCATTGCGTGCACACATGTCCATGCCATACGGAGTGCAGCCTTCGGTGCGATGCTCGTGCAGAAACCGAACGATGTCAAGGTGCCCATTCATCATGGCACCGTTCATGGCACTGCGTGTGCATCCTTCCGTGCGATGACAGTGCAGGAACTGGACGATTGTCAAATGCCCTTGTTCGGCAGCGGCATTCATCGCTCGTGTTGTACACCCTGAGTACCCGCGGTGATGCAACCACGTGAGAGCCTCCAGGTGGCCGCGGGATGACGCAATATCCAATAGATTTTCCAAGGACCATAGGCTGCCCTTCGAGTCCAGGCAGCGCAGGAGATCCATATTGCCAGACCATGCAGCGTATCTCATGAGGTATGTCAACGATTGAGGTCGACATCGAAGGAGCCGGACGAGTCCATTGTCGCCACGCGATGCAAACCACGGCTGGAACTGTTCGTGGAAAGGTACGACGCTGTGGGCAAAAGTCTGTTGAAGGAGCAGCGAAAACGGAAGTAGGTCTTCGTAAACTCCTTCCTGGTAGCAGCAGATGGACGCGGAGATGTCGGCGTCAAGAAGAGCTCTGGATGCCGCACAGTTGTCGCGGCATCGCATGGCGGCATTCGAAGATGGTGCGAAATCTCAAATTAAAATAAACCCTGCCCCGTATATCATTCAAAACCGAAGATATTGTAATCGCCAATCTTTAAATAGTGTAGACCTTTCTTTCGATAAATTGAAGATTATCTAGATGTTTGTATGACGAATATTTAAGCCGAATCCTTGCGTACACCTGTCCTAGTTAAAGTATGAATAAAGCAGCAGAAATGCTGCTTATACGTTAAATAGTGTACGAATCCTTTGTATTGTGCGGAGGGCATTTATCTCTCAAAACGAGTGGTATTCCCAGCTGAAGATGGCCGGACGAGGACGAGAGCTTACCCTTCCTGCATGGATGCGCCAGCAGCAGCACCAGGAGGCGCCAGTACAGCCACCGCCGACCATGCATATGCCTCGTCATGACCCAAACATCTACGCAGATGCTGTTGATCCGTCGAGGTCGAGTCGCACGGATCGTGACGCTGGCTATGGAAGCACTAGTTCGAGCTCGCGGGCGCGAGACGAGCCCCGTCGCGAGGGCCGCCGTGAAGAGTACTCGACGTCGCGCCAGGAATACGGTCGTCGAGAAGAAGAACCGCGCCGCGAACACGACTACTCTCGACGCGAAGAAGTGCCTCCGTCATCGTCGACGTCGCGCAGTAGCCGAGACGATGCGCCGCGTAGCAGTCATCGTAGCCACTATGACTCTAGATCCGATAAGCCGCGCGACAGTGATCGCCGGGGTAGTGACCGAGGAAGCGATCGAGGCAGCGACCGTCGACGAAGGGAACGAAGCCGGTCCAGGGGAAGCAGTCGCCGCGACTATGACGACTCCCGCAGCAGAGGTCGTGGTGTTAGCCGAAAGGGTGGCGATTTCAAGAAGATGGAGGGCTTTGGCACATTGTCTCTCAGCGGCTCGGGTCGTGTCCGTGTTCGTCGGTAGGCTCTCCATCACGCCATGTCCTCCTCATGCATGGATGTCAGCTTTGACATTTTGCCACCGGGTGTCACACAAGAAACTGCCGCTGCGTACGCGGCAGAAGTGATCATGCAGGCCAAGCTTCAAGCCCTCTCCGGCATCGTTGGTCCTGCATCGTTTGGCCCGCCCACGAACGTACGAGGCAGCTTTTGAATTGTCGTTTTTGGCTAATCTCGTGGATTCCGCTAGGCCCACATGCACCACCTCGTACGAGCTGTGCACGACCTGATCAATCCTTCTAACTGTTCTACTAGTCGTTTGGAGGCAGCCAGCACTCGCGGCACGCGCGTCGGTTGTATGTAGGCGGGTTTGGCGAAATCACGGAGGCCGAGATCGAGCGATTCTTCAACGAAGTCATCGATAAAGCCCTCGGGGAAGTCCAGGAGCATGGTTCGGTCGTGTCGGTACGTCTATTCAACGTGTTTCCGTCAAGTCATCTGGCTCATATCTTGCGGTTGGCCAGGTCTATATCAACCGCGAGCGGCACTTTGCTTTCGTCGAGCTCAAGACGATCGAGTTGACGACGGCGTGCATGGAACTGGACGGGATCACGTATCACGGGCAGCCGCTAAAGATCCGACGGCCGAACGACTACAACCCATCCGCCGTGAAAGAAACCGGTACGGGTCGTGGCATCGTTCTAGGCCAACGACATTTGTCCCAGGTCCGATCCCAAAGCTCAACGTGAACGCTCTCGGCATCGTGTCGACGTCGGTGAGCGACGGCCCGGGCAAGATCTTTGTCGGTGGTTTGCCGTACCAACTCAACGAAGAGCAAGTGAAGGAGCTCCTGCAAGCATTTGGGCCGCTCAAGTCGTTCCACTTGGTGAAGGAGCTCAACAGTAATTTATCCAAAGGCTACGGGTTCTGCGAGTACTTGGACCCGAACATCACCCAGATTGCGTGCGCCGGTCTCAATGATATGCAAGTCGGCGACAAGATTCTCACCGTCCGCACCGCGCTGTCTGCGGGCGGCCTGTACCCTCCATCGTTCAACCCGTCCACTGGCGCGAGTGATAACCAGCCCCTCGCCATCCCGATGGCGATTGTGCCGTCGATCCCGCTCGGCCAGCCGTCCCGCGTCCTGGTCTTGCTCAACATGGTCACGACCGACGACCTCACGGATCCCGAAGAGTACCAAGATATTTGCGACGATATTCGAGCCGAGTGCGAGAAATCGGGACCGATTCAAGACATGATCGTCCCTCGCCCGAATGAGCCGCAGTACCAACCGTCGTCGGTGTGTAAGGTACGTCGGCGTCCGACTTGGTTGTGGCGGCGAGTGTTTGAAGTTTGAAAGGCGGGAGAAGGATGCATGCACAGACCGCGACCTTGGTCCTGGCTTCCTTTGTGGCTCATATGCGTGTGTGTGCTGCGCCCGGTGGCGACGCTCGACGAGTTTATGAATAATTGCTCACGGCGGTGGCTTTGTGCCCAGGTCTTTGTGGCGTTCCAGGAATTGAAAGCGGCAGAGACGGCCGCAAACGAACTGCACGGCCGAGGGTTTGCCAACCAGACGGTTGCCGTCGAGTTTATGGACGAAGACAAGTTTAATCGCCGCGACTTTTAGCTTTATAATCAATTTTCCACCGCGTTGGTGTCGTGGCTTGGCGTGCTCATTCCTGCTTTGCCGCATGCAGAATCTGCTGCGCGACAAAGCCCAAGTGCACCGCGAGTGCTGTCCAACAGTGCCACCACCGCGCGTGCAAGTGGAGATTCACCGGTAGAAATGGCAACGAGGCGTGCTCGCTGTCAGTGCTGTAGGCCACCTCGTGCAGAATCAAAACATGGGAAAACCGAACAAAGCAGTCGGTACTACTGGACCAAGAGGTCCAACGTGGTAAGTAAAGTCAAGAACGTAGCCGCCGTGGTCGACAAAGTGACTGCTGGAGTGTGGGCATGGTTTGGCCAAAGGAGCTGTGAATTCAGCCAACTTCAGGGGTGTCGCCTGCGCGGGTATTGCCGGCGCTGTGGAAGGTATAGCCTTGCGTAACAAGTGAACGCAACAGGGCTGAAGGCGAACGCACAAAAGGCGCATAGCAGTAAAGTTGAAGGCCAAGTGATCCCAGCGTCCGGCTACTAGCCCGCCCTCGTCGCGACAGTGAATCGAGCCCCGAGTTCTGCGTTGGACGAGGCGGGACGGATCGTGTACAAGGGCAAGAAGGGGGTGGGCAGAGTCAAGGAGGACATTGGTAGGTGCACCCGCGCGGTCGGGGCAGCAAGTGGCAATGTCGAACCAGGTCCAACATGCAAGGCCATCCATTCGATTTATAGTTTCTTCAATCCGTCACTGAGGCATGGACCAACTCACTATACCCCTCGTAAGCAGTACTTGTGTGTCGGAATCGATCAGTAGCTAGCCACTATGCTGCGTTCATGGGCTGCAGGCAGGGCACGTCGCAGGATGTTTCGACGGCTATGATGGTGTGCAAGTTTTGTGGAAATCCTTCCAGGCCGGCAGAGCTGGAGGAGCTGGAAGTACAGGGGCAAGAAATGCACAGAGGTTTCAATTCGACTGCGATGACTTCGAACAGGCCAGACATGAAAGCCATTGTACTGTTGCACGGTTTTGTTGTCCCTGCGCCATTTTGATCGTTACCCCACGTTTGAGCAAGTGACGATCGTTTTGATGAATGATTTCATCGTGGGCTCGCCAGCGGCTCGCCCATGCTAGTTGTGCTCCCCGAGCTACCAAGGATGTACGGTTAGAGCTCCGCCAGAACATTCTAAGGGTGTGGACATCAGCCTTCGCCAAGACAACGAGCTTCGTTCCGCCCTCGTCGGCGAAAATGTTAGAACCGTCTGATATCGCAAAGGACGTGAGCATCTATTTCAAGGATGGGAACCGCCCGGCGTTTCACTGGTTGTGTTTTCACTCTTAGTTTTGGATCTGCCATGATGCACCTGGACCATTCGAGTGCACGTCGCTACTGCACCGTCCACGGCTGTCCCCGCTACGCAAAGATCATGGAGCGATGCATCCACCACAGCCAAGACGTTCGACTACCACCGCTAAACAGGGTTTACATCGCGCAGTTGTCGCCGACTACTTTACCATCCCGACCACGAAGCCAACGACGGCCAAAGCGATCGAGACTTCCACCCCCCAAGATGATGTGCACCGAACCTAGGTGCCTATCGTACGCCAGGCGATTTGGAAAGTGTTCTCGGCACGGTGGCTCGATCAAATGTACCATCGATGGATGCAATACACCAGCTCAAACTGCTGGCCGGTGCCGAGCCCACGGTGGCGGAACGCTATGCAAAGTCGTCGGGTGCACAGCTTTTGCTCGATTCCAAGGCATCTGTGTGTCGCACCGCTGCTTAGTCAAACCGGGGGCGGCATAGCCTCCCCATAAGACGGCCCGCCAAAGGTGATTTAACGGTATTTAGCCGTAAGCCATCGAGAATAAAGTTGTTATGTCTCGCAGCAGGTTGGCAAACGTCAACGGTCAGCCTCGATCAACACATTGCTCATCCAGGCTGCCCAGACGGGGCAGCGACTGGAGCAATCGCCTCGTTGGCAAAATGAGTCTACGGCGCTCTGCTGTATGAATATAAAAAGAAGATGCAGAGAGAACAGTCATGTATGCTAGCTTTTGGATCAGGGGGAAGGAGTTACAGCGTTCATGCTGTGCTCCACGAGAAGGTGCCGAGCAAAGAATCGTTCGATCGCGCAAACAACGGCACCACCCATCTATCCCAGGTGCACTGCGAAGGGTGGGGATGGTGCAAAATCGCAGCAGCCCCGAAACCATACCTCCATTCGATCACACCTAGTACCTTGTTCTATAGCGCCTCACATCTTCTTCCTCGAAGCCTCACAAGATCACACACCACATGACCACCGCAGGCTTGCATTTTGAGCATGCACCCGTCCTAACAGCATAGAGCAACTCCATTCGATTGTTAACCCCATCGCGAGCGTTCTTGCCATGCTGACAACGGCTGCTGCTTTCGAGACGATGAGGTCCACATGTTCCTGTGTTTGTGCAATCGCAGCACAGCCATTGATTTTACATACGGACCCCCCGTCGCCCTGTGCCCGACACCGCTCTTCCGTTTGGCCCGGCGTTCAACAACCCACTTCGGCACAAGAAGTCGACCCACCATGTCAAGAGCACCTTCCTTGAAGTCTCGCGTACGAAGAGCAACCGTCAAATCGGCAAAACCCCGTCCTCTTGCCTTCCTGTAATGACCAAGTGATCGTGGGAACCGCATGACGCAGGAGTGCGCGATGCCATGGTTCTCTTGTGTTGAAGTCCCAGGACAGTAGTGAATCTAATCGTTGTAATCGGCCACGTCGGGTGCGTCGGAAGTTGCATGGGGCTGTGGCGGTGGAAGCGGCTGTGTTGTCTCACCTTGGCAAAGCGATGGCACCCACTCGTCGCGCATGGAGCTAGCATAATCATGGTCGTGGCTTTGGCAAATAACGAAGGAATATCCTGGCTGCGTAACGTCAGCTGGTGCAAAGTCATGCATGGTGCGGGACACCGATGGAAACTGCATTTCAAAGGGGAGTGGTGGTCTCCTCGCCGTGGTCAGCAGCTTGAGGAACCTAATGAAGCCTGTCTGGATCTTATATGCTCACCTTGGATTCAGCGCCGTCGGCAACGGTGTGGGGGAGGAGCGGTCTCCGGGGCGTGGCTGGTTATCACATTGGCCCGCTCGGCGTTACGCCCCTTCAGCTTTGTGCTCGTCATCGCAATGGCTACATTGCATATCGACATGACCAAGTTTTCTCCGTTTCTGACTGCGCGGCAGCTGTGGATCGCCCCCGTGCGAGGCTCTGGGGGCTTTTGAGTACCGATCTCCCCCTCAGCTACCTGACGAGGGAGTTGTCAAAGGGATTTTCCATCCTGTCCCTTGAAACGCCGTACAATGATAGCTCCATGTGGCAACCAACCCGAATGGTCAGTTTTGCAGCTATCCTCGAACGGCACCGCTCCCAAGTAGGAAAGTTCTCTCGGCTAGCCCGACAAGGCAGCTGGCAAGTGTACAACATTTTGAGATGCTGGGCCAGCCTCAGCACTCAACTATGAGAAATATGGCCGTGCGGTGGCTAGATTTGCAAGCTGGTCGTGATTGAGCCCTGTGCAAAGCAGGGCTGCTGGAGGATTATTCGGGCATACTGCCCTACCTACTACTAGCCGGTGACTGTCGATGGCATGTCGCTGGACCCTTGCGACATTTTGCATGCAAGTTTCGAGTACGAAGGATGGACGTACTTCGAGCCGTTGGGGCACGGATGGCGGCCTATTCGGCGTAAAAACAAAATGTTTCACTGGGAAAGTCGTCGCTGCGTGTACTATGTAAACGACTGCGATCTAAAAGCTAGCGTTGACGGCTATGCCGGTAGATAGCCACGCCTCCATTCGATCGTCCTTCAGGAATTTGTGCAGCTGTGAAGGCGCGGGAACCTACTACCACGAAACCCACCGACTCTCGTGATGATTGCGTTCGCAGCGAAACGGCTCAAATCAGCCGTGTAAGTTCGAGTCGTCGTTGGTGACTTGAGTTGGATGTCTCTCTGCACAGCACCTATTGTCGTGTACCGGAGCAACCATTTTACTCGCGCGGGGCTGCCCGACGAGGCCGAGTGGCGGTACAGGGCGCGGTGATGTTGAGAGTTAGGATGGTTCGCGCAGTTTCACCGCAATTTTGGCCGAGGGTTTGCTGGCGTTACTGATTTGGCGCACGGTCATTCTGTAAATTGCATCGTGGAGCGACTTTGCCATGCATTGCACCTGCTCAACCCATGGGTGCCATCGCTTCGCCAAGCAGGACGCGCTCTGCCTTCACCACCATCGAGCCACCACTTCCACTTCAACTACTTTCCAGGCACCCAACAAACCCATCGCCATCAACAGCGCCACCATGATCGGCTCGCCCACGATCGTCCCTTATACCAAACCACAAGCCAAGTCTGCGTGCATTGTCCGTGCCACGACGCCAACCACGCTCAAGAGTTCTCGCATGTGCAGAGTGCCAAGCTGCACCTCGTACGCCAGACGTCAAGGTAGATGCTCTCGTCATGGAGGTTCCGCCCTTTGCTCTGCAGAGGGATGCAAGACTCCGGCTCAAACTGGGGGACGATGCCGAGTGCATGGAGGTGGCTCGATGTGCAAAGTTACTGGCTGCGATTCGTTTGCAAGGTCACAAGGACTGTGTGGGTATCATCGACAGGCAGCACAACAGGTCGAAGCAGCGTAAGCTCGCGAGCGAAGACGTCTTCTGTTGCCAATCTTATGTCGATCAACTTTTGGTTGCAATAGAAACGAGCAGGCTCTTCATGCAGGGAGCACGACGTTGTGCGACATTACCAATGAACGTTGACCTGTCATTTGAATACGAGCGCAGTCAGTCATGCGCGACAATTTTGATTGCCCACGGCTTTGCGTTGTCCAGCGCACTGGTACATGATGTAACCGGTCGAAAAAAGCCCAAAGCAGACTCATCCTTTCCAATCTTTCACCAATACAGTGCCACGTGCGCGGCACGTGCATAGAACCAGCGCCGTCCGCTCGTCAGGACTTGCTCTCCGCACGGCAACGCATCGCATTCGCAGGTTTCACAATTCCAAGCGGAATGTTTTGCTGCTTCCGTGGGACTCTTGTGCGCAATACGTCATCGCACGTACCATACTTTATGTATGTTTTCATTACAACAATTGCAATCGAAATCTGGCTTGAACCGACGTGTGCGTTCTCCGTCGGTGTGCTCTGGAACGACAGCATCCTCAATACCCTGTCGTGGCCAAGTGCTCATGGAATGGAGCAGCGTTGGAATCGAGTGTGCATGGTTTTATGTCATGCCGTGGATTGTCTCCATTTCATGTCCGCGAGATCACCGCAGAACGACAGAAGGATGCGCCTTCCCTTGGCAGCATCGCCCACTTTGGCTATGCATGCAACAGTTACTCGAACGGTTTCAAATTGTCTGTTACCTATCGAAGCGACCTTTCGTGCAATGCGCATGCGGCACCGAGTTGAATGCCATCGCACTCAAATGCAGACAGGAACCCTGCAGCGACTGCTTGTAAGGTACAGAGACTTGCTCGGGGAGTCCTATTAAACACGTTCCAACTACTTGCTTTGCCAAACGACACACGTTCGCAACTCTCCCCAAACACACTCTTCGCACCACACATATACGTGACTACGTGGAGGAATGTCAGGCAACCCAATGGGATATCGAGGCAACTGGCACCCGGCCCAGGGTTGCCGAACCTTTTAACGAAATTTGGCAACTTCCAGCCTATTGCAGAGGTGTGAGTATCGCTCAAGTACCAGATTGCGTGTGTGGGATATGTCTCAACACATCTCACACGCGCAACCGGAATTTTGTCACACGGGAATTGTTGTCAATGCTCTTCAGAGTCTCCACCGTTATGACGCAACCGCCCGTGTTGAATGGCTTTCCAATTCGTGACGATGGTCGTCGAGGTCACGTCGTCCAACTTTTAGGAAACGTCGAGGCACGGCGGAGATTCGGAGTGTCCCCCGAAACCGAGGAGATTCGCGCGTGGCAACTTGTGCAAGATTAAAGTGTCGCGTCGGGTCCAACGGTGCTCCCCATGCCGTCATCTCCTCACTAAACTTCGCAGCAAGACTGGACAGTCGAGACCCTGACGAAATGGACCAAGGCATCCTGTCCTGGTACTTGGATAAGTTCCAGGAGGCGACGACGTATGGCGGCAGTTCAATATCAATTCTTGAAAAGGAGAATTCAAACGCGCGAGCCGCAACCTCGACAGACTGGATATTGTGTGTGTCCATAGTCGCTACGTCAGGTTAGTGGAAAGTTCGTTTACCCCAACGGCGGTGGTCATTGCTCCAACTCATTCATGGCTGTCACACACAACGCGACCGACGATTTAATAAAATCGCCCATTCCCAACGGTCCGTTCAAGTGCTGCTGGTGGCGCTCGCTATGACGCCGCGGGGTCGAGTCCTGTGTCCCGCCAAGCGGGTTGTATTGGACCTGCCTTACGAAGACCACCGTTTCCATCGCTCCCTCGCAAACGGAATCTTCCACCCAAGACGTGCGCTCCAAGGGACGTCAGCCCTGTGGTCAACGGCGAAGTTCCCCATCGCGGTTCGCAGCCTGTCCATCAAAACTATTCTCGTGCGGATAAACAACAATTCGTGTCGGTCGGGTGTACTGCTTGTATTCACGTGCATGACGCCGTCATGAGCGCATGCCCAGCATCGGTAGGATGATGGCGTACGTGCATTTCATCATTCATCACTAAAGGACGGGATCACCGACGTGACCACGACATTCCATCGCCTGGCTGACAGCACTTGGTGACGACAATGGTATTGGGATTGGAGCAAAAATCCCGTCCACATCTAATGTGGACATTCCAACACGAAAATGGTCATGGTACTACTCACAAGAGCATAGACTTCACTGAAAACAACTCACACGTGCATCATTTCGTGAAGGTTTTGGGCACTGGGAGAAATGCCACAGGTCTCCTTACCATCCCTGCCTGGGCCTTGTAGAGAAGACTACTTCAACCGTCGTCTTTGGTGCCCGCACATCCCACCTCGGTCAGTGTAACTTCGCCGCCGACAAAGCCATCATGCCCACCATGCACGCGTCGAGCCACTTACCTTCACGGCGTCGAATCGTCGCTATGATAACTGGTTTTGGCACACATTGGTTGCTATTTCGTTTGGTTGTTGTGATTTGTTTCGTCGTCGAGCATGCTTTGTGTTTGCTGCGTCAAATTTCAGAACCAATGCTTTCAGCATTCAAGGCGCAAAGTTTCCTAATTTGTGTGAGTTGAACTGTGAATTGGTGGGACCGTGGGCTATTTCGACGTGATGAAATTGTACACTCTTGGGAATTGCCGTGTCCCCTTCGATGGTCTTGACGCAAGTCCCGACTGATGGGAGCAGAGTCAAAATCGAAGCTGAGCCCAATTATCTTGGTCGTGATGAGCTTCCACATCACGAGGGCGTCGCATCAACGTGCTACAGGGCCCTCCTGACTTATCGCTCTTCTGTGGGAATATCAGACACTTTGACTGTTGGCATGGTTGCAGCGGCGCTTCGCGTCGTCGACGACGGTCAGCGCGCAATGAGCGGAAACGAGTGCAAGAGTTGGCATGAGGGAGGTGGTTGAGGGCTTCCATTGGCGTCTCTACCGCTCGTGATGAAGCAAAGTTCGCGGCCACCGCGGCTATGCTATGGGCGGCGACGACAATTACATCGTCCATTCCAGGCTTATAATTAGACAAAACGCCCTCCTCAGGGGCTGAGGCATTTTCTCAAGCGGATGACAGTGTCATGGGCGCGCTCGGTTCCTCTCGGCCTTTGCTGGTGCGGGTACCTCTATATGCCAGTCGTTCTGTACCTTTACATCACGCATATGCACCACTCACCCATCAAGTACTGCCAGCCGCATCTTGTCGCCATCACAGGATTCTTTTGCACGTTATTCTGCCTGACAACACCGGCCATACACGTGTTTGGCTCGACATGGCCGTGTGGCGTCCACATCGTGTGCAACTTTATCTTTCCTGTGTACGTTTGGTACGTCCTCAACCCGCCCGCGCGAGCCTCGTCCCTAACGCTGCCTAGTGTATCTTATCTCCTCAGCGCCGCGGCCGTCGTCATCATGTTCAAAATAACAGATTTGGTCGCGAATCATATTCAGTTTACACCGTGGCAAGTCCAGCGCCTCACGCTCTACCGGTGGCTCCTCTATCCAAACGTGCAAGTGGCGACCGTCGCAGGCGTCGGCTCGGTCCTCGCTCTTCCCGCTGTTGTCGTTGTCGTGCACTCGACGTCGTTGAGCATGGACGAATTGCACCAAGCCCACAAATTGAATGTGGTAAGTGGCTGTGTCGTTGGCAACGGCTTTCTCATACACGGGGCAGATCCTGCTGGCGTCGACCAGCACGTCGGTGCTATGTGGTTCCGTTGTCGGCCTTTGGCTGTCGAAGCTCATGCCTCCATACATGGATAATTTGGGCCTGCGCCGAAAATACCAACGGACGAACCGCGCGACGGCGATCATTCTCTGCATTGGCATGGTGCACTCGGGGCTTGAGGTGATGTGGACTAACCCGATCGGTGAAGACTATCACGTCCGCAATATTCTCTTCACGCTCTTGATGCAATACTTGTTTCTGTTCAACATTGCCCTGCCGCTGCGTCAGGTGGCTACCAAATTGCCAGCAACGACCCAGTCTTCGCAAGTTAGTTCATTCCCATCGGCGACAAATCACCTCGCCAAGGAAATGGACCAATTCCTGCGATCTCCCCATGGCGCTGCGACTATTCTCGAGTTCTGCCAGCGAGATTTTCGCACCGAGGAGATTCGAGCCTGGCAACTTGTCGAGCAATTCAAGCAACGCCTCGTGTCGGCCCCAATGCTATTCGCCACTTGTTTGGCGCCAGGTTGTCCGCTGGCGTGTCCGATCGCCATCCGTTGGGGGCCGACGTATGCGGCCAGGCTGGAAAGTTGGTCACAACGCGACATGGACATTGTTGGTTCGGAACTGACGGATTCGTTTTTTAACGAATTTCAAATGGCTCTGCTGGAAGCGTTGAGTGAAAATGTGTGGCTGCGTTTCAAGCAACAGTCTGTGGAATGGAGCACTCTTCAGCGCCGTCGACGAAGTCTCGAAGGAATGGACAGCGTCCTGCGCATGGTCGTCAAGGCTCCACCCGTGACGAGCACGCTGCCAAGAACAGTTGTCTCCATGTCCGAGGAAAACTTGTCAGAATCAATGAACGACGAACCCAATTTAGACAGATCCGAGGTCGTTGCTCAAGTCAAGGCTGGCCGAAGTGTTGCGACCACGTAGGAGTCGACGTGTGTGTGGTGATGCTGTCTGCTAGATATGTCTTGGGACGTTCGCTGACCTTCTCCCATCATATATCGTATTCCAAAGCAAGATCTTCGTTGTGTTATCTTCCATTTCGAGCACCATTCCGAGAGGTCTTGGCTCCATCAGAACACACTCGAAAGATACATTCGACTTCGAGGGAAGGTGGTGTGCGCGAAATTCCATATCGACGCACTCGATTGGGTGCGGTGTGTGAATCGTCGACGTTGTACCAACGCTATATTCATGTTATGATTGCTGGGACGCATGGAGGGGAGACATAGTAGCGGTGCACTCGAATGGATGCACTTGACAGCGTTTTCATTGTGCAGAGATTTTGTCAGTACAGCATCCACGCATGTACTTGCGGAAAGCCGGGATACAAACGATGTCCAGTCCAGCGGGGTCGTCGCGAACGAAAGGAGCGCCAAGGACACTTTTCTGTTAGCTGGCCACTGCCATTAGCATAGCAGGTACTTTCATAGATTTCATCGTCGCGAGTCGATAGCTTCACATTCTCTCGCTTGGCAAGCGGCATGTCGGCTCACGCAGACGACATACGAAACGAGTAGGCCAAGGTCGTTCGAGGAAGGTTTGCGCAACCATCAGTGCAGTGACGTCCAAGGGGTACTCTCTTTCAATGATGAACCATCGACGCCAATTCATCATCCAACGATTCCAACAGGTCATTGTCGGCAGCTGGCGTTGGTGACACAACTTCTGGCGGTGCTTGCTTGACGACCATTCGCAACACTGTGTCCATCCCTTCCAAGCTCTTTCGTCGGCGATTGTGGTCTTTCCACTCCATCGATTGCTCCTTGAAGCGCAGCCACACATCTTCGCACAGTGCACTCAAGAGCGCCACCTGGAACTCGTCAAAAAAGGTCCGCGGTAAGTCCGTGCCGACAATGTCTGTGTCTCGATGCATCCAGCTGTTGACGCGTTTCACGTACAACGGCCCCCACTCGATGGAGGTCGGGCAAGCAAGCGGGCACTGCGGTAACAAGCACGTCGAAAGCACCTTGTGTTCCGTCACATTGCCGTGTTTAAACTGCTCGACCAGTTGCCATGCTCGAATCTCCTCGGTTCGAAAATCCCGCTGGCAAAACTCGAAAAACGAGGCCGTGCCATGAGGCGAGTGCAAGTACTGTTCGAGTTCGTCGGTTTGCGCGGCGGGTACAGTCGCCTTGCGTGACTGGGAGGCCGACGAGGACGCTGCACGAGTGGAAGCCACATATCGACCAAAGAGCAGCCGCTGGAACGAGGCCAGCTGACGCAGCGGCACGACCAAGTTGAAAAAGAAAAAGTACTGTGCCGCTAGGGTGTAGAAAATGTAGTGCACGTTGTAGTTGCGGGCCCACACCAGCGACGTGGTGATCTCGAGAGTCGACAGCATTGCACTCAGAGCAACCAAGATGCTCCCGGCGTAGCAAGATCGTCGGTACGTAAAGCGTAGACCGAGGTTGTCGATGTAGGGGGCCATTTGAGCGGACAAAACGATGCCGCCGATTCCCGCCAATAGGGCTAACGTGCATGTGGCCGCCCACAAGACCTTGGGGCAACAAATGGCGATTTCATGCTGTGTCACGTGGATGAAGATTTTTTACCGTGTCGTGGCTGCTGTGCAGCAATTCCGCCGTCGTCAGACCGCGAAAGGAATACACTGCGATGGAGTAAGGAGCAGATACCATCGCGCCGCATGCAGCCACGGCGACGACTTGAACCTTGGGGTACAGGAGCTTTCGATAAAAGCTGAGTCGTTTGACTTGTGCCGGCGAAAAATGCGAGTGAAGTACGATGAGGTCGGTGATCTTGTACATGACAACAACGGCCCCCGCGCTCAGAATGAACGACACACTAGAGAATTGATATTAGAGATTGAGAGGGATCGAATCAAGGCTTGAGACCAGATGAGGCACGGCAGGATGTACCCGCACACGATCGCAACGGGTGCTGGCCAGTCGGCCCCGACAATGTAGACGAGGGGTGCGAGTATGCAGTAGAACGTGCAAAAGATCCCCGTGGCTGTCATGAGATACGGTTGGCAGTACTTGATGGGCGGAAGATGCATATTGGTTACGTATATGTACAGCATCGCCGGCATGTAGAGGTACGCACACCAGCACACGCACAACGGTATCGAGTGGAGTGAGGTGTTGTTCAGCATCGTGGTCGCTGCTGCTTCGTCGACAACAGGAAAAGGAGGTGGACCTAGGGTCTATTTTTACGACTATTCGGGCGACTGCTCGACTTGCATATGAAGTTCGGTTCGCATGCTTGCGGGACCACCGGCCATGCCGCATATAGGTTTGTGATATCGACAGAACACCATGGCGCAAATATGATAAGGTAGTCGCAACAGCGAAGCCCTCATCAGCACAAACTATTCAACGTTATGTAATTTCCAGCAAAACCCGACGTAGAAATATTTTTG